AAAAGGATTTCTTTCTCCCCGGTATCCATTTATTTTGTTAGAAATATTAATGATTGGTTTTGAAAAGCTCTCTTTTCTAAGGATGTGAGGCGCTGAATAATATCATTGCCTGGGCTTCAAGAATAAAAAAAGGATTTCTTTCTCCCCGGTATCCATTTATTTTGTTAGAAATATAAATGATTGGTTTTGAAAAGCTCTCTTTTCTAAGGATGTGAGGCGCTGAATGATATCATTGCCTGGGCTTCAAGTAAAAAAAAAAAGATTTCTTTCTCCCTGGTATCCATGTATGTTGCCTTGGTTATTTGAGAGTGGCAAATGTAGAGAAGTTAGACACAATCATTCAGAAAGAAAAAAAAATGATGTGATGATGTGACTAACATGATGAAGTCTTCTGGGAGGTAACATACAGAGCTTCCATTTGAACATCACGTTGCAATTCTTTTGAATGAAATAATTAGAAAACAAGTACGGATGGGCTGAATTAAATGAGACAGTCATAGAGCGGTGTCTTCTAACTTCTTGTCGGAAACGGCATAACACATCTTCAGCAGGGCCTCTCCATTTCCTGGAGATACCGATCGAACAATTGGAAAAATCCTTCATCCCGCGAACTCCCAGAAGTGCGACTTTGAACATTAATTTGACACGCAGGAATGATTTTCGAGGAGAAATGAGTAAAAGGATGAGCTGCGCCGCCGAATAACCCACGCCCAATTTAGCATAAATGAGAAAATGTGATATTGATAATTCATTCGTCAAGAGCGTGTTCTGTCTGGGATATAGTTTCTCACTACCGTATTACGGAACATTCAGAACAGAGAGAGGGAGAGAGAGAGAGAGAGAGAGAGAGGGAGAGAGAGAGGGAGAGAGAGAGGAAGAAGGGAGAGAGGAGACAGCATTTGTTTGTTCAGTAAATAATGTTGTATTCATAATAAATTCTGTTAGACTGGCAAAACATATTTCTCCGCTCTCATTCATTAAAACAGAGTCATACAATAAGAGTGACTCAAACCTTACCCATGTCACTACATGTCTGGGATAGTTTTTTATCTATGTTTTGGGGGAAATAAGCTTGAGCTTTCGTGGGTTATCCTGTTCAAGCTGACTTAATTTTGATCTGTTATTATTGTATATTGTTGTATGTTGGAAGCTTGGCGAATAAAAATCAATAAATCAAACAAACAATCATTTCCATTTTTCTAACATTCAACCTTCACAACTCGGTGCAAAGCTTGGTAGATATTGGCATATATCAATTTATGATGTTAAATGTGATGAATGACTTGCGTTGATACAAGTTATAACCTTGTACTCGTAATAGTTTTGTTTGAACATCAAATTAAATATTCATGTCACAAAGCTTTTTGGTGTATTTTATCTGCTGATTGCCAGAAAGTTAAGTTCTACAAAACATTAACACCTTTCCCCCTCTTCACAGACGAAAAGTGGAATTTAACAACATTTATGTATGCATGCGTGACATTTAAAGCAAAACAGATGAATTCAATTTGATGAATAATTTGCTAACCCAAAACGCATCCTTTCATCGATCCCTCACCATTCAAAATACCTAACTTCCCCTTTCATTTGTTAACCTTCTACTGACACATCTTGATTCAATTCAGTAAGAGTACATTAATGCTGGATTAATTCTCATAAAATGCACATTTACCAACAAAACAAAAAAAGGCAATATGGTGGGAAAGTAAAAATAGGCCAATTTTTTTCTCTCTCTCTCGATCTCTCTCGGTGTTTAATGGGAGTTTAGAGAGCACATGGGATTGAAATGAATATGTTTGGAAAGGATGGGGAAGAGGAAGAGAGCGAGAACTTTTCACAGACGGGCTGACACCCCTGGGGGGTTGGAACGTACCCACGCTAAAGTCCGCGGACGCACGCAAGGGATGCAGGGGAGTTTGCCCGGATGAACCAAAGTCAAAAGAAACGGTAATCACATTCAGAGGTTTTGTAGTCACGCTCTGTCTCCTTCAAGCGAGCGAGCGCAAGAGGGAAGACTTCTTAATGAGTGGAATCGGAACATGACTTGTAGTGACAAAACATAGAAATGCATTTCGATTTTATAGATGAAAGCATATCAAGGGGATTGGACTTGACATTTAGAATAACATCACTAAATTGGCAGCTGAAAATGACGCTAAAGCTAGTCTTACATTGCATACATATATGGAAACCGTTGCTAACATAATCAACACTTTAAGTCCACCTGCCTACATGTATAATGGCCAAATTTCATAACCCAGTGAAATGGTCTTCATATGCACATTTTCACACTGTAACTACTTTTGCTTAAATCTGCAGCTGAAAACAATGCTAAAGCTAGTTTTAGAATGCTTACATATCGAAAGCAGTGCCCCTCCCCCACCACCAACACTAAAAAACCACTTGAATGCATACATATGTAACTACTTCAGATTAATGAAAGTATACCAATTACTAAATCTGCAGCTGAAAACGACGCTATAGCTAGTCTGAGAATGCACACATATGGATTGGTGATCGTCGACCACGCCAACATATGTAACTACTTTAGATTAATGAAAGGATACCCATTGCTAAATCTGCAGCTGAAAACGACGCTAAAGCTAGTCTTAAAATGCACACATGTGGATTGGTGATCGTCGACCACGCCAACATATGTAACTACTTTAGAATAATGAAAGGATACCCATTGCTAAATCTGCAGCTCCAAACGATGCTAAAGCTAGTCTTAGAATGCACACATATGGATTGGTGATCGTCGACCACGCCAACATATATAACTACTTTAGATTAATGAAAGGATACCCATTGCTAAATCTGCAACTCCAAACGATGCTAAAGCTAGTCTTAGACTGCACACATATGGATTGGTGATCATCGACCACGCCAACATATATAACTACTTTAGATTAATAAAAGGATACCCATTGTTAAATCTGCAGCTCCAAACGATGCTAAAGCTAGTCTTAGAATGCACACATATGGATTGGTGATCGTCGACCACGCCAACATATATAACTAATTTAAATTAATGAAAGGATACCCATTGCTAAATCTGCAGCTCCAAACGATGCTAAAGCTAGTCTTAGACTGCACACATATGGATTGGTGATCATCGACCACGCCAACATATATGACTACTTTAGATTAATGAAAGGATACCCATTGCTAAATCTGCAGCTCCAAACGATGCTAAAGCTAGTCTTAGAATGCACACATATGGATTGGTGATCGTCGACCACGCCAACATATATAACTACTTTAAATTAATGACAGGATACCCATTGCTAAATCTGCAGCTCCAAACGATGCTAAAGCTAGTCTTAGAATGCACACATATGGATTGGTGATCGTCGACCATGCTAAGACTAAATATAGAATGCATACATATGTCACTACTTCAGAAAGGATACCCATTGCTAAATCTGCAGCTCCAAACGATGCTAAAGCTAGTCTTAGAATGCACACATATGGATTGGTGATCGTAGACCACTCCAACATATGTAACTTCTTTAGATTAATGAAAGGATATCCATTACTAAATCTGCAGCTCCAAACGATACTAATGCTAGTCTTAGAATGCACAAGTATGGATTGGTGATCGTCGACCACCAACACTTAAAAAACCACTAGAATGCATACAGTAACTACTTCAGATTTGTAAAAGGATACCCATTACTAAGTATGCAGCTCCAAACGACGCTAAAGCTAGTCTTAGAATGCACACATATGGATTGGGGATCATCAACCACCAACATTTATGAACAACTAGAATGCATACATGTGTACCTACATGTACTTCAGATTAATAAAAGGATACCCATTACTAAATCTGCAGCTCCAAACGATGGTAAAGCTAGTTTTAGAATGCACACATATGGATTGGTGATCGTCAACCAAGCTAAGACTAAATATAGAGTGCATACATATTTCACTACTTCAGAAAGGATACCCATTGCTAAATCTGCAGCTCCAAACGAGGCTAAAGCTAGTCTTAGACTGCACACATATGGATTGGTGATCATCGACCACGCCAACATATATGACTACTTTAGATTAATGAAAGGATACCCATTGCTAAATCTGCAGCTCCAAACGATGCTAAAGCTAGTCTTAGAATGCACACATATGGATTGGTGATCGTCGACCACGCCAACATATATAACTACTTTAAATTAATGACAGGATACCCATTGCTAAATCTGCAGCTCCAAACGATGCTAAAGCTAGTCTTAGAATGCACACATATGGATTGGTGATCGTCGACCATGCTAAGACTAAATATAGAATGCATACATATGTCACTACTTCAGAAAGGATACCCATTGCTAAATCTGCAGCTCCAAACGATGCTAAAGCTAGTCTTAGAATGCACACCAATGGATTGGTGATCGTAGACCACTCCAACATATGTAACTTCTTTAGATTAATGAAAGGATATCCATTACTAAATCTGCAGCTCCAAACGATACTAATGCTAGTCTTAGAATGCACAAGTATGGATTGGTGATCGTCGACCACCAACACTTAAAAAACCACTAGAATGCATACAGTAACTACTTCAGATTTGAAAAAGGATACCCATTACTAAGTATGCAGCTCCAAACGACGCTAAAGCTAGTCTTAGAATGCACACATATGGATTGGGGATCATCAACCACCAACATTTATGAACAACTAGAATGCATACATGTGTACCTACATGTACTTCAGATTAATAAAAGGATACCCATTACTAAATCTGCAGCTCCAAACGATGGTAAAGCTAGTTTTAGAATGCACACATATGGATTGGTGATCGTCAACCAAGCTAAGACTAAATATAGAGTGCATACATATTTCACTACTTCAGAAAGGATACCCATTGCTAAATCTGCAGCTCCAAACGAGGCTAAAGCTAGTCTTAGAATGCACACATATGGATTGGTGATCGTCGACCACCAACAACACTTAAAAGACTATTAGAATACATACATATTTAACTACTTCAGAAAGGATACCCATTACTAAATCTGCAGCTCCAAACGACGCTAAAGCTAGTCTTAGAATGCACACATATGGATTGGTGATCTTCGACCACCCTTGGAAGGAGAGCCATGCATGCATGAAGCCGTACATGACCCCGAAGAGGAAACAGAAGAAGGCACCAATGAGATGGATGGTCAAGTTCTTATCTTCCTACAAACCAAGAGAGGGAGACAAACAAATACGTTAGAAAAAAAAAATTCATATACAATTTAAGAGGCTTCTTACAGATGCCTCGTCATTATGTGCGAATTATCTTTGAACGATCAAGCTCCAAGTTTATATCAATTGTACCTGTTTTATGAGGTGAAAACATAATTTCCATTAGTGTTACATGCAATGTGCAGTAAAGCATAATATAAAACAAAATAAGATTATTAAATATGCTCTAAAATCTGCAAATACTACATATGCTCTAAAATCTACAAACATAGAATGAGATAGGGAAAAGGGAGGGGGAGAGGGGGAATGCAGAGAGGGGGCAGAGAGGGCGCAGAGAGAAGGATGCAGATGGGGAGAGCAAGCAGGTGTTAAACAGGCCAGGAAAAACAATTTTTCTTTTCTTCAACCCTCTTTGGCATTAGTTAAGGGGTAGAGTTAAACCAAAAACACCATATTATTTTGGCAACATCAAACTTCAACAATTTCTGCAACATTTTGTGGAGAAAAAAATGACCTTCATCTCCACCATGACCTTGAGTACCTGTCATCACCTATGAACATATCGGGCAAGACAGGTATCACTTTTGTATGTACAGAAAGCCTGGCAAACGAACAACACACAGAAGCCTGTTTTTCACAAACTTTTTTTTGGTTTTTTGGCAAACATCTGGACGTCTGCATCCTGTTTACACTTTGTTAAGCGTTTATTTCTGTACTTGCTCATTCGGGCTAGACCTGGACCTGGGGAAATATTACAAATTCTTAAAAGAATTCCTTGGAAGTTGTGACTGTGGGGGCTGATAATAAGCTGCCAATCTTAACACTATGCCTTCAGGACCCTCATCAAACATATATGAATGAGAAAGTCTTGTAATCAGGGGGTTAACGACATGGTAATGGTTTTGAAATGTTGTGTTTATGCGTTGAAAAATCCAGGCTAGACTATTCAGGTCAGAGCTCCAAAAATACAAATTTAGAAATATTCTTTGAGCATCATGAGGACTGATAACACATTGCCAAACTTAAGATAAGGCAAAAGGTTCCTTGTTTTGTGCTTATGCTTTCAAAATTTGATATATTAGTTCTGCCAAACTTGAGACAGGGCAAGTTTTCTGATATCAATGGCATGGCTTATTGGGGAGGGTGGGGGGGGGGGGGGGGGGGCTGCATAGGGGCCACATGCCCTCCATTTTATCTACAGTAAATTAATCCTGGTTTTGTCTAACTTAATGAATTAATTCATGTGCTATTATCTGGCCCCTTTTACCATCCAATAGTTTCTCTTCTTGTATAATTTTTATGTAAAGTTATTGTATGAAATGTATTGCTGTTGGTAAATAAATCAAATCAAATTCACTGCAAATAACTTTTTTTTTTAAAGTACGCCAAAGTATGAAACAAACTGTGTTGATCATCACCTTTGACTCCGACCCGATCAGTTTCAGCTGCAAACGTTAAACGAAAGAAGAAGAAGCATTTAATTTGATATGTCAATATCTTCTTACTCCCAACATTGTTGCTTTTCTCCCCCTCTCCTCCCTCCCCCCACCCACTCTCCTTTCCCCTCCCCTTGCTACAGTTCTGTATTCTAGCTTTTTTCTGTAGAAACCTACACTTTTTGTGACAATTATTGAAACAACCCTCAGTTAATGCAAGCCTCATCCATTCTTCAAATGTTTAACATATTTAATCCCTCTAAAGAGAAGACCTGGATGCACGTGTCTGTCTGGCATTATCTCCCTGAGTAAAGAAAAAAGAAGAAAGGAGGATACTTTTGGGAGGGCATCTTTCAGCAGACGGCTTTGTTACCATGGAAACGGCAATGTAGAGAAATTGAGAGTGACTCTCATAGGGTAAAGCCAGGGCCATGGACTTGTTCACACTGCAGGAACAAAGAGGTCAATTAGTCTTTTTAAGTGTTTAAAAGGGAGGGGGGGCGAGGTGTTAAGGTTATTGTTGTTGAGAAGAAAGTTTTGATGAATAAGGGGAAAAGGAGAGTTAGAGGGAAGGAGAGAGAAAGAGAAAGAGAGAAAGAGAGATGGGGAAGGGTAGGGAAAAGAGGAGAGCAAAGGGAAGGAGTATGGGAGGGAGAAAGGAAGTAATCGAGGGAGGGAGAGATGCAGAGAGAAAGGGAGAGAGGGAAATATGAAGCAAGAGAGAGAGAGGGGGCAGATTGAGACCCCCCCCCCCCTCGAAAGGACACAGAGACTAGAGGGGGAACGGGCACGGAAGTGGTTGACAGAGTCACAAACAATAGAGGGGGAAAACAGTACATACTTGTGAGAAAGAGGCATACAAGTACAGGAACAATGGTGAAGCACAATAGTGAAATAAAAAGGGAAGGCTTTAAAGGAAAGGAATAATTGAGACAGGAAAGAAAATAAGAAAAGGAAAGAGAAGACAAACAAAACAGTGAGAACTTTCTTGCCAATGTGATGAAGTGACACCAAATCAGAAATAAGCTATCAGACAATGAACATCAAACAGAATTACATCACACACAAGAAGCCTGCATCATCGCTTGAGTTGCATCACCAATCAGTTTCCTAGGTCAGTGTTGCCCGGCGATTCACTGATTAAATTTAAACCAACTTCAAAAACTTCACAGCCTCGCTAATATGCGAGACAAAGATATGAATCAAGCCTTCTCTGCATTAGATTTGCAAGTGTCAGTTGGCGTTTGGCAAATTATGCTTCGAGACAGGAGTTTTCCCACTTTGACATTGCTTCGATCAGAGCTGCGAGGTCGCTCCGAGTTTCCAAGGGGAGTGTTTGAGCAATTGCACCTTCCTTTGTTTAAAGAGAAGGTTGAGTTTTGGGAAAAGTGAAAATAAGTTGTGATATTTGTTGTTGTTCTTTGTATAAAATTTGGACGTGACCACTGAAAAGCATTGCTCTTCAAAGGCCCTCATATTCGAAATGTGACAAGAAACAGAAGTATTGGAACACGTAACTTCATGCCATATGTGTGTGGATGAGGCGCGATAGGTCAGTCGGTAGAGCAGTGGTCTCGTAATCTGGTGACTCTGGTGACTGGGGTTCGAAACCAAGGCGATGCGCTAGTGCCCTTTGGTAAAGCATGAATCCTCATTACCAGGTCCCTCGGAGAGGACCTTAAGCCGTCGGCCGTCTGGTTGCTTACTTACAAGCATTTATGCTTTCTTAGCAGTCAGGTAAAATAACCACCATCACCATCACATATACCCATTTCTGAGTGGGGTGTATATGTGTGCTTTAATTCAGTAAGACTCAGTCAATTTCTTATTACATTGGTGTTTCCAAAACTTCACAATGTACACAAATTCTATGTACGTTCATGAATAATCAACCCTTTCTCATTGCTTCTAGTTAGTACCGGTATGCTTCCAAATACTATTGCGTGGCCAGAACTCAACTTTATCTTTCAGCATATCTACCACCCTGGTTGAAGTGTGTCATCGTGTACACCAATTACTGCTAGGCTAGCACAAGATCATTCAAGGGTAATATGATATAGCGCTTGGATGACGTAATAGATAGGCGCGAAACTAAAACAAATACCTGTCTTTTCTGTTGTCTTTAAAATATACCCCAGGTCAATATTGCGCAACGTTCATTTGCACTGCCCTCTCAGGTAAACATTGGATGGTTTGCTTTAGCTATCTGCTGTCAAGGTACACACTGGACGTTTGTTTAGATGTTTTGTCTTGGTGTAGGTCTATAGGGTTATGACATGAGGGTGTGTTTACACAGTAAGATAAAGAGGGACCAACAAGACATTATGTTTGGCCTAGAAACACACCATGGAGATGGGGCCCCTGTAAGATTCTATACTATGCTTCTAAATGGGATAATAAGAAAAGTCGGTGAGTCACAACTTTAGCTAAAATACCTGAAAAGTCAGGGTACCGATTAGAATTCCAATTGAAATATCTCTTTTTCCTAGTGCATTGTTTCAAAGAACATCTAAACTATTCATACTCCTTGTAAATTTGATGTTTTTTTGTTTTGTTTTTAGTAACTCAAGATTGAAACCTTTGTTTAATACTTTTAAATGTAAGCTTTAATACATCACATTCTGAAGAAACATCGATATGGAAAGATCTATTTTTCAAAACAAGGAACACTAATCTAGAGGAGTTAATTATCTAGGAAAAGTGATACACAAAAAAGGTATCAGAGATCTTTTGATGAATTTATGAAGGGGAGGGAAGAACACAATTAGAGGGCCCTTTAGTGGTGAACTTAGGCTACGCCACATTGTGTGACAAAGGGGGGCATATGGGTCAGTGGTAGCTACCCCCTCCCCCCCCCCAAACAAAACAAAATTAAACAAAAATCCATCACTCCATATGCGTCACAGCAGATGAACATTAAAAAGTACCTCTATTTATCAACATACAGAACATCAATCAATCAGAACATTCACTTGGGACCTACTTATTTGACAACATCAAATTAGAAATGAATGTTCTAGTTTAGTGTTCTAGCTAGTCATCTCAACCTGAACATAAATATGACCATACCAGGGAGCTCGGGGAGAGATACAAACCGCAAAGATAATAGGGAAAGAATGTGTCATTTAAAAGTGATGGTTGTTGATAAAAATTCAAGGCAATGCTCTCATTTTTTTCTTCTTCTTTAAAAAAATATTATTATTATTATCAATTTTTTTTTTTTTTTTTTTTTTTGGGGGGGGGGGGGGGATCGTGAGGTTTATGCTCTATGTGCCTCTATGAGTTTCTGTTTAAACTTTGGCATTTGAGGATAAAGAGATGAAATTTAGAGACTGATTTACATTGGGCCTCTTTTTTCCAACCCTAGAAGGGATTATTAGAACTACAGATTTTTTTTAAAAGACGTGTCCATTTTCTTGGTAATATTGTAACTACAGGATTTTATATTCATATGATGATAACACTTGAACTAAAGAATAATCTTGGAATAAAATATTTTATTGGGATTTTTTTTTGTCTTGCTGAATATACACAAACAAAATCTGTAAATATGTGCTATTGAAGCTTTCAAGGCATTTGGAAGACTGTGAATTGCCATTGCCATCTATATCCATCTACACACACCCATCATCACAATCCTACAACACACAACATTCATGACCTTAAACTAACAAAGCATTCTGAGAAGAGATGGGCTTTACATTTATTTCTTTGGCATGTACTGTCACTCTGTGGTACATCATTGTCACCTGGTCCCGGGGTCGAATGGAAATGATAAAAGTTCATTCTCAAATTTGAAGTTGATAATAATGCATTTGTTTTAAATCCAACCAATTTATTTTCCCTCTTTCGGAGCATGTGTTATCACCCACACAGAAAATGGCATGTATTGTAATGATTAACTGAAACATGCCATTACAATTGACAAGGATTTAGACAAGGGTGACGGATGTCAAATAAATATCATTGTCTATCTGTTATCATTATTATAATTCCTATTATTGCATCTTTTATTGATTCTTATCAATCATCAATTTTTTACATTCACGAAATCTGGAGTAGGGGAAGAGGGCGGTGACCCTTATCTTTATAATCTTTGTGTTTTTTTTCCAGTATAACTAATTAATACATTATGGGCATGATTCCCTGTCATTAATATCTTCATCATCAGCATAATCATCATCATTGTCATCATCATCATTTTCATCATCATCGTCATCATCATCACCATCACCATCTTTAACATCGCCATCATCATCATCATCATTTAAAATTTTAAATCTCCCTCGGGAAGCCATCAATTCTCATTGACACCATCATCATCATCATCATCCTCTTCATCAGCAGCGATCCTATCTCTCTTTCCTTCCCCATTCGGAGTGGGTGGATCAACACGCAAACAAAGAAACTGTCAGAGACCTGTAATTATAACCATTTCCAATAAAATCTTAATCTCATCCTGCCATCTTTTTTTTCTTCATCCTCTCGCTTTTTGGAGATATTTCTGTCTTGTCAATGGCCTCATCATCAGCGAGGACAGCGGCATCCTGAAGATTGACTCACTATGAAACCATGAGGATAATAGCAACCATATGTGGGAGGCCTCATCTTCTTTAGAGAGAGAACTTAATGAAGCTTTTGTGCAGTGTCTCAAGATTCACAATTCCTGGCTTCTATCTTCAAGCTCCTCTAAAGTGTTGTCCGCAAAAAAACCTAAATTTTGTATTCTTTTATCAATATTCAACTTCAAACACATTTGTTTTGAAAATCCTTAAATGATATCCTCTTTCATATTATGATACAATTTCAGTGAAATTTTGCTATCAAATTTTTGGGGCTCCCAACATTTTAGAGGGGCTTTAAGTCTAGCATTCATGCTAAGATGTATCGGCCTTGTCTGCTTTTCAGAAAAAGCTCCTCAAGATTCACATATTCTTGCTTTTATTCTTGAGTCTAGAATCAAGAAAATGGAACAAAACTAATACTCTTTAACTTAATGTCAAGTGCTTATACAGGGCTTGCCACCAAAGACACTAAAACATACTTTCACTAACAAGATTTTTAAAACTCACAACATTTTCAGAATACCACCCCTGAATAACACCTCCTAAAAGGCTGCCAATTATCATCCTTTAGCACGGAGTTCAATGACACTTGAGGACCTCGTAAATGGTTGGACAGGGACCTGGACTTTAAAGGAGCCAAGGGATTTTCATATCTAGGCGCCTTTCAATAATGTCTGACCAAATTTATAGCCCCCTGAGAATTGGAATATCAATATTTTTTTGCAAAATAATGGTTTCTGCTTTTGTTGATACAAAATGCGAAGGGAATTAATGCAAGGTTGTCATTGCATCCTGATGTTTGGGAAGACATATGGAGTTGATTTATGCATAGGAACAAAACAGCACATTAACAGAAATGTGAGAGAGGGGGCATAGTCATTGAGTGCGAAAAAGAAAGAGAGAAAGAAAGGGAGATGGAAAGAGGGGAGAGGGAGAGAGAGAGAGAGAGAGAGAGGAGAGGGAGAGGAAGAGGAAGGGAGGGAGGGAGAGAGAGAGAGAGAGGGAGAGAGAGAAGGAGAGAGAGAGAGAGAGAGAAAGGGAGAAAAGATAGAGGGAGAGAGGAGAGACTGAAAGAGGGAGAAAGCAAGAGATAGAAAAGGAGAGAGAGCTGTATATCAAGAGGAAATTGTAATACACAAGCATATAAAACAAACAGATGTTGAGAAAGAATAAAGAGAGAATAGAAAGAAAGAGACAGAGACCGAGAGAGAGAGAGAGAGAGACAGACAGAGAGTGACAGAGGAGAAGAGGAAGAGAGAGACAGAGACAGAGACAGACAGAGAGAAGAGAGAGAGAGTGAGAGAGAGAGAAA